CTTATTATGTATGCATGCATTAAAATATATCTGTACATTTGAATGTAATGTTTCCAACCCACAAAAACAAATAAAATAGGATTGTTAAAGATACTGAAAAGGTAAAAATAACAAAAATTTAAGAAAAAAAGTATTCAATTTCCTTCAGAACCAACTTACAACAGAGATATCTGAACGTAATCACATCTTAAGTCAGAGACTACCTGTGCTTGCTTTCAGACTTTTTGTTTAGTGATTATGTTTAAATGTTTCATCACCCCACCACTGCCAAAACAAATAAGTAAAAAATCGCAAAAGTATTGTGAGTGTTTCTCATTTTATTAATTAATTTTAAACTTTACTGGCTACACTTTAGGCTATTTTTTTATCCACTTTTTACAATACCAATTTCATTTACTTACAGAATATATTGTGTAAATCATAACACTTTGCTAATTTATTGTGCTATATACAGGCAACCTCTGGGCTATGAATGAGATCTGTTCCAAACTGTATCTTTAAGTTACATTTGTAGGTAAGTTGAAACAGCTACATCCAGTTCATACTTAGCCTTACTTTAGTGCAAGAAAACGCTAATAGCCTTTTCAATGATTTAAAAGCTGCATGTGCAGCAAGTGAAGGTGATCGTGATGAAGGATTTGTTGAGGGTAGGGACTGATTCAATTTTCCAAACTGAGGCCAAATTTGCATAACATTAAAGGGCAACTACAAATTGACCCTAAATGAGACATCTGTAACCCAGGGACTCAGAGTAGCAGGCCAGAAGAGCAGGGAAGGTGATAAAAGCCTTAAGCCCCAGGCTTACAGGTGAGGAGAGACAATGCAGGGACGCCAGAGTAGCAGGCTGGAAGAGCAGGAAAAGGGTATTAAAAGCCAGGAAGCCAGACAGAGGAACAGTCAGCCAGGTGGGGGTGACACGAGAGGTCTCTAGCAGCAGGACAAACTTGTCTGTCGGTTTGCCCTACAGTGGTGACATATAGATGTGAGTTTTGGAGGCTGAGCCTCTGGTGTTTAAAACCCAGAGAGATGCACCTGGTGCACAGGTAACAGCCCAGCTTATAGACTGAGACAGACTAGGAAGA